CCCTCCATCCCTGGATTGCTATCAAAATTATTCAAATTAAGTGATTGAAATCAAAACCATGTCATAAAGTAGTCAGTGGTACTGGAAACCCTATTATTTGTCCATCTATGATATACCACCACTAACTTTGAAAATATCCATTTTCTTCCAAAAGTATCAATTCCCTAAACACCAAAAAATTGAAGGCAAAGCAAGAATCCAAAAACCAATAACCAAGTTTGACAAAATCCTCATCTCTACAAACATAAATCAAAGAACCTAAGGGTAGTAGCAAAGAGAGCAAAGGTTGAGACTTGAAACAGAGGACAGAGGGCTCTATAATTTTTCTTCAAACAAAGTAATTACATTTTCCATACATAATTAAACAACACCCAATTGTCAAGAAATAAAACCCATAAATAAAAATATGAAAAGAAAATCCCTTACCATCAATTGCCAGAAAGACGGGTCTGTGGCGGTCAATGAGCTGCACTTGCCCTATTGGATTTTTTTTTTTCCTTTTTTTGGGGCTAATGAGATACCTATCTTTAGCTTTAGGATATATGCTTCTTTCAGATTTCACTCCCCAACAACCACAGATCCAATCTAATATCTTAACATTCACCTTCCGTGCCATTTCCATCCAAAAGCTTCAAGACAAAACAGAGCATGTACAAGAGAAAGAGGGGCTTGACTTTGGTAGATTTTTCTTCTTTTCTCTCCTCTCCATAAAAAGGTTTCCATTGATAGAAACATCAAAGTTCGAGTTGTGTTCACAGTGTTCAAGCTTTGTCTGTCCACAAATGAAAAATGATAATGTTCAAAGCTAAATATAATGGGAAGGTCCAATCAAATCCCCCACTAAAAAGACTCCAAAGGAATAGCAGCAGCCCTTGGTGGCAAGCCAACACACAACGCACCCAGCCTTTTATTATCCTTAAAGAAACAATTCCAAATGCTACCTTCCACCTTTCTTTGGATTTTGCTCCTGACCATTTTCTTCCCTGGACGTACTTTTACCCCTTCACATGGCCACATATCTCTGCCTTGTTAGACTTTGCAGCTCAGCTGCCTTTGTCTATTCCAACTTTTAGTCATACAGAATCAAATAGCCGGAATGAATGAATTAAAATAATCATCTCAAGTCCTAGCTCTGTCCTATATATATGAGCATATGCATTTGAGTCTTCTTAAAGTGCACTTGCATCAATCCCATAGACGTTCCTCTTCATCTTCCAATGAGTGGAGATAGATTGATCCAATGATCATTCATCCGCTCATTGCTCTTCTGCAGGAATGGTTTCAGATAGTTGGAGAGAGCCAAGGAGATGAGGCAGGAGAAAGAGCTCTTACAGATGTTGCCTGAATCAAGGCAGATCAATGCAGCTATGCCTTATGTGCCATCCAGATTGCTTTTCCACCCTGAACTCATGCTTCAGTCAGAGCTGCCTCTTCAGTGTACACTCAAAAGAGAAGCCAATATGCAGAGCAGGAATACCCAGGTTCAGGCCATTCAGACTCCAATATTGGAGAATTTATGGTCCAGAGCCACTGTCATATGCACAACTGAGACTGACTATGATGATATTTCAGATGTTGATACATCACTTCATCTGTGAAAAAGTTTTACAATGTTAGTCTATCTAGTAATCTTGTGGTTTCCTTCCGTTTCTTCTCCATGGGGCAGTAAGAATATGGGAAAGGAAATGTAGGAGGTAAAGAAAAAGAAAACAGAATAAGCAATGTAGCTAATGGCCATTATCTTATGTATCTTCAGCAACTACATAGCAATCAGAAAGGCAATTCCCTTGTCTCTTTCGAAATGCGTTCTCATCATAGGTAATGTTATCCAATTTGTCATTGTTCCCTTTCCTCTTCATGATTTTGGGAATCAATCGAGTTACTTCGTTGGCCTCTG